AAGTTCAAAGATACAATACTAAAATAATTATTTAAGTATAATTATTTTACACTACGAGTACACTACAAAGGGGGAATACATACATTTACATGAACAAGAAAACAATTACACACTATACGTAAACAAGTTAATACAGGATTGTGACCCACTACTTCATCGTACCTACCAGAGTACACGATAAAGTCTTGAATTATAACCAGAGTCTCCTGGAGGGAGAACGTGAATTTGTGTATAGATCTATACGGGACTGACAATCCCACACCTAAACTGTTAGCTACAGTTAGACCCTGTTTGTTTACCTCTTAATTGAAAAATTAAGAGGTAACATCTGAAAAATTCAGACTTGGCATGTTTGGTAGCCTCTTATAATTTACATCTGAACTTAATAAATGGCTCTTAAAAATTCAGTGCTAAAGACGTATCTGAAAAAAAAAGACACCGATTGCCCTTGCCCTTGTTTCGTCGCTTTTTCTTTTCTCCTCAAACTCACGCCTCCACCGATTCTTTCTTCTCATCGACGCACACAAGCACCTTCATTCCATATGTTGTGTTCGCTCGCCAACTGCACATCGTCGGTGACTTCCCCGCCACCAGCTCCGACTGCCGCGCCACAACAGCACCGACGACATTGATTTCGGCAGGTAAGATCATGCCTCCTCTATATTCTTCTGAAATCGACTCTAGTTATGTTATTATTTGATGATTTTCTTTGAAATTTGATGTTTTTTGCAACATTTGAAATCTGATTTTCTTCTCAAACAAGTTCTGAAATTAGATTTTACAGAAAACTTGTTTTTTTTTATTTTCCTTTTTTCTGAATTCATGTGTGGTTTGCAATCTGATGTTGAATTCGTGATTTTCTTTTGTTTTCTTCTGAATTCATATGTGGTTTCAAACTCTTGAAATGGTGAAATCAAAAATCTAATTATAAAGGTTTGAAATTTGATATGTACAGTTGATGTTGCTGATGATAAGAGCTGATTTTTTTTTGTAATGTTTTGCTTCTATCAAATTTGGATTGGGTTTTAAGTGGTAATGTATGTACAAATTTTGATAAAGTTGTTATTAGGTGCATCAATTTCAGTCTCTTAAAATGTTACGAACTTTGATTATTAACTTGCGTACCTGTTGCTAATGGGCAATTTCTTGCTTAAATGGATGATTTCTATTGATTTGTGCTGAAAAGTTTTTATTAATTTTTTTGTTGATAAAAGAGTTATAAATTGTATGGTTGTTTCTTAAATGTGCAGGAAGTAGAAGGTATTTGGTTTTATAGTTGCACCATAGATTGATAGAAATGAATTTGGAAGAATTTATGCTTAATTTGGTTATATTGTATGATTTTAATGTTACAATGGATTGAAAGAAGTGAGTGAATTTGAAAGAATTTATGTTTAATTTGGTTATATTGTATGATCACGTGATTTATGCTAAATTTGGATTTTATATGGTGTTTATTTTTTTGTCTTATAATAATTTAAGAAATTGATTAGGTTATTTTATAAACAGACACTTGAATTCAATAAAAAATATAACATAAGGGTAAAATGGTCATTTTTATAATTCAGCACAACAATTCAGATGTCCCAACCAAACAACATGTTAAACATTCAGCTCTTAAAATTTCAGACCATCTTAGAAATTCAGATCTCTTAAAAATTCAGATCTTAAAAATTCAGATCCTGCCAAACAGCCCCTTAGTCCGTCAGGTCTGGGGTGACAAATGTCATAACATTCCGACGCCTGAAGAACGTCGTGCAGGCCACTAGTCATTTTAGTATGGTTATAATATCACTCACAATAAGCATTAACTAAACATTTTGGTTTACGGGACAAACATGACTTCAAGGGTTTTATTTTAATAATAGAACTACATTACACTACTATACAGTACAGCTGATGTATTCCAGGCACATACATACAAAGGGTTTTCATACAAATGCAATACAGTACACTATTTTCCAAATACAGTACAACATACATTTTTGGGAAGTATTCATTTATATGGTTTTATTTAATAATAAGACTATAGTATACTATTTCAGAGTAGAAAACTCACATACATTTTGGTCTTAAGGCCTAAGACTACATTTCATTTAGAAAATAAAATATTGGATTTTCTATAGGAACAGACTAACATTTCGAAGAACAAAGACAGACTTCTAATAGAAAAATGCTTATGAACTCACCAACTTAAATGTTGATACACTTTCAAAATCACTTGTATTCTTTGGGAACAAGTAGACAGGTACACTTACAGGTTTTGAGAAGACGGTGCATCATAGCGTCACGTCTTATAGTTTTTGCTACACTTTTGGTGTCATACAAACAATGTTACGAACACAATGTAAAACTCTATATTATTAGTTTCATGGTTGTTGCTTTGATTACTATTATTCAATTGTTGTGATACTGTACATGACGTCATCCGCCTCCGAACGTTTCTGTCGTTCCGGTTTGGGGGTGTGACATTATCCGCTTCGCAGATATACGAGGGAGTTGCATTAAGACAGAAACATTTTTATTGCAATATGTTATGGGCTATTATGGTGTCTTTGGAATGCGAGGAATGACCGACTTTTTAAGGCGAATTTCATTACCCCGACTAGAGTGGTGGAGAATGTTAAATCAATGGTATATTTATGGGTGAAATGTAGGGCTAAATGAGTAATTTATAAGGTTTCTTCCCCTTTTCCTATTTAAAACTCTTTGTAACTTGTATTAGTTTCTTACTTATAGGGGTGCCTTGATTGTGCTCCATATACAACGTCTTGAGACACCGTAAGAGAATAAAATACCTAGTTGATTTTTTCTTACAACCCGTTCCACATTTCGAAACCGAACGATTCATTTCATGCAACAAATCTATGTAGAGGAACATCATCTAGAAGATAAAGATGTACAACATCTCGACAAACAACATATACAACCTCCATCTAGTATTTGACACGATTGTCGTCAATTATCTTTATAATGTATTTAAAGTGAGAATGTTACAAAATAAATAGATGTCGTTATCGTCTAAACATAACTTTCTTGCAAACAAATCAAATAACCCAAGAAGGTTTTTATCCAAATGACAAATCCAAACCATAATTTATTGGCATTTGATATGATGTTCGATTAAAGCCAAGAAAGGTTTTTATCCAATAACAAATCTAAACCATAATTTATTGCATTTGATCTAATGTATTGATTAACTTCATGTTATCTTCGGTAGCCCTCTAATACAAGAATTACTATGAATACATCAATGAATGAACTAATTTTGGATGAAAAAAATGTTTGTAGCATAGAAGATATTAAAGATTACTATAAAGATTACAATATAATATTTCTCATTTTATATAAAAAAAACCTAAGTTTCATACCAATTAAAATAATTTTGTAGTTTTATTGTGAAACCTAATGAGAGAAGACAAAACACTTATCATCAGAGGTTTCACTAAAATATCCTGTTATATTAAAAAGAAAAATCCCAAATCATCGCATTTTTTGAAAATACATTCCTCATATGCCTATTTTCATGATTGCATAGGGTTGGTCAAATAATTAGTTCACATTAGTTACAAGTAAAACTAATAATCCATCAGGATATAAAACTTTACTACATTAGTTTTGTTTTATGTAACAAAAGAACCATTTTAACAACTTATGGTTTAGAAAAACTTTTTGTTGTTACTCAACAACAAGTATTTAACACTTTTAAGTTTATTTCTATTTTGTTATACCTAGTTATACTAAACTTTGGGATTTGGGATGAGAGTAAGGAATACCTAAGGTATAAAACCACATCCATTCAAAAACCAACATGTATTATTATTCTCTAATGAAGAGATGCTCTGTTTTCAATAGCCTGAATGGTGGCTGTGGCTGTGGCCTCTGTGCTATCATTAATCACAGCCCACAATTCTCTCTCTTTGTCCCTGTTAACCTCCATCGCAGCCGTCTGCAACGTGTCTCCCTGAACACACATTCTGATAAAGCCTGTTCTCTCTCCTTCCTTCCTCCTACATCGAATATAAACTTCAGATACCTCTCCCTCTCTATCTTTCTAATTCTCTCTCTTCTTTCCTCCATAAAACCCCATTTTCATCGTCCCAAATCCCCACTTCACAACCATATTAAAATGGCATCAGATTCCTCCGACCAACGCCGAACAACCACCGCAAAGAACCACCACGTCGGGCTTGGTGCGCCGCCTTCGGAGCCTGAACACCTTCCTTGCCCACGATGTGATTCCACCAATACCAAGTTTTGTTACTACAACAACTATAACTTTTCTCAGCCGCGTCACTTCTGCAAGTCATGTCGACGGTACTGGACACACGGCGGCGCTCTCCGGGACATCCCTGTTGGTGGTGGTACTCGGAAGAATGCTAAACGTGCACGTATCTCCACCGCCACTTCCCATGACAACTCCTCCGTTTCCTCTGGTATAGAATACCACCACATTTCTGCCACCTCCACCACCACATCCGTCGCCTCCATCCCTATCTTGATGTCATTTGCCGGAGATCACGGTGGGTCCGGGCACTGTGGGAGCTTCACGTCGCTTTTGAGTAACACTCAAAGCCCGGGGCTTTATGGGCTTGATCAAGATTTTAGCTTTGGCCTTGGACGAACGATTTGGCCGTTTTCCAGTATTGGAGACGGCGTTGTTGCTGGTAACGCCGGCAGCGGCGGCGGTGGGAATACGTGGCAGATGGACAGTACAGACGGTGGTGGAGATTATTTCGTTTTCCCGGATCTTGCGATTTCCACACCAGGCAATGCCATGAAGTAGAATAGTAGATCAGTTCTAGTTATTAATAGGATATCTCTTATTTTCTGTTTCATATTATATTAATCATTCGAGCAAATGTTCTTCGTATGCAAATGTTGTGAAATTTTATCTACGATTGCGCTTAAAATCAACTAGTATCCATGTCATAATGGTATAAAAATATAACAAATTAAAGACTATATGACATTAGACCAATAATGCCACAAAAGCCGAAGGCAATAAGCCATAAGCTTTAATGCTAGTTTCTAAGTATGTTTTGGATAGAGATGGATTATGCCATGTTTAAGTATTCCCCTTTAAGACCTTTAAGACAGACAGACACGAAGAGATGGATGGTGTGAATTGTGTGACTTTTGGGTTTTGTGACTTGTCAATGTCTCAGTGAGGTTCTAAAATGCTAGTTATTGAAATGTCTTTCGGACTGTGAGTTTACGTTATTTTATTTTTTTTAAACTGATATTACATTACTCCGAAAATTATTGTCCACTTTATTATTTTATTTTAGTTTGTCCCAAAATTATTGTCCACTCACTTTTTCTATATTACCCCTAACATTTAATAAAGTAAACTTGAATAATTACAAACGCATATTTCCCATTGGTTTTAAAAAAGGGCAAGAGGGTCATTTTACTCAAAAAGACAAAATTATTATCCACCTTATTATTTTAGTTTGTCCTAAAATTATTGTCCACTACCAAAAATAGATTACACTTTTTCCATATTACCCCTAACCTTTAATAAAGTAAACTTGAATAATTACAAATGCATATTTCCCATTGGTTTTAAAAAATGGCAAAAGGGTCATTTTACTCAAAAAGACAAAACTAATGATTGTTTTTCTTAATCCATGTGTTTTTTGTCTGTGGACAATAATTTTGGGACGGAGAGAGTATTTTAAAATTTCTGAATTAAAAATTACATAAATGAGAGTCACAAATATTTTAAAAGGGATTATGTCCATAATAGACAAACTTTTGGAGTGTTTTCTAAAATTTAGATATAAAAATCCTCTTTCCATACTTAGACATGCATTCTGCGAACTTAAGCTCCAATAAATCAATGTGTCAAAAACAAAAATAAAAACGGTGAAGAACAATTCCGCAGAGCTGAAGAACAATTCCGTGGAGCTCTCTTCGAGAATGAACTTATGGAGAAATCGATCATTCAATTTTATATATGCCCTTCCGTAGAGCACAAGTTTCCTTGGAGATAGTTCTAAAGAATAATGTGCAGAGTAATTTTTTTTTTTGTCTAAATTTTAGAAAACACCCCTAAAATCTCTCTTCCTAATAAAAACCTCTCTATGGTGCCACATGTCCTTATTATAAACACCCAAAGTACACGTGTCATTTTCTCCATTTTCCTCATAAACTTTTTCCCGCCCAAAGCATCCCTAAAAATTAAACAATAATTCTGAAAGTCAAAAGTTAATATATGTTTCAAAAAGAAATATGTTTCCATATTAAACGAAAAATCTGTTTCCATATTAAACTCCAAATTAAACGAAAAATTCAAACTAAAATATAATCACCTTGCTATAAAATCGACAATGGTTTATTAAAAATAAATTTGTTTCCATATAAAACGAAAATCTATGTTTCTTATAAAAGTTTTACCTCTCATACCTTCTTTGACGAATCCACACATTCTCCTACTAATTAGCAAAATATTTTTCCTTATCGCATAAAATCAGGAATGGTTTTTTATAAAGTTGATCTTTTTCCAAATATATCTGCATGATAATAGTAATTAAATCAT